AGGACATGGATTTCGATGTTTGGCCGGTTCCATTCGTGAGTGTTTGGCTTGTGAGAGGAAAACGTGTCCTTAGGGAAAACACACGACGCGCATAGCTCGCAGCCCAAGGCTGTGGCACAGCTGGTATTCATAGATCGTCTCCTATCCAACCAAGTGCTTATAATGCTCAACTATACTTAACTTCAAACTTGATTTGAAGCTTTCGTGACTGCAGGAATTGCTCTTTGGTTCTATCGGTAAAGTCACGTAGAAAGAAAATTAATGTGAATAATAGAATTCGACGTTTCGATTGCAACACAAGCAATCGTCATCAGGTAGAAAACAAACCTAGTGAACTTATAAATACAATGCAACCTAACAAAAAGAGTCGGCTAACACAACTACTTAACTTCCAACTTAGCTTCTACTTCACTTCCAAAATCTGACGCATTTATGGTGGTTTTGGCCTTCAAGAAAATGTTGTCTCTGTACAAACTGTAACACAGATTACGTACAAAAAACTTTACTTACAGTCGGATGAGAGGCAATTGATATAAAACAAATCTTTAGACAGGTCCTGCGGCGCAAAGAAATAAAATGTACTCTACAATTAGCAGTACGGGGACACTAACAGGGCAATCGCAAAAAATAAAGATTAAAAAAAAGTGGAAGTTTGAAAAAAAAATTAAACATTTATTTTAAATCTAGGCTGAAAACTCTTTTCTTTAAAACAGTGTTTTGTTGGTGTTCAGTTTGTTGTTTACATTGTGGCCTTTCACTCGCACCTCCCTTTAGCACGGTTGGTTACGTACGGTGTGAAAGAAGTTCAACATAACACATACTCGTTGCAGAGGTTCGTGGTTCGAATCGAAGCAGCCGCCCCGATTAATACCGCCGGCGTTGTCTGTAAACATTTATAAACCGTCTGCGCCGCTTCGCAGTGGGGCGTCAATAGATCCCCTTGATGTCGTTCGCGAGACGACGCCAATGTGTGCGTCGCGTCTGGGTTGACGTTGTCTAAATAAACAACAAAAATGACAACGCACTCGACTCATTTGAGATTATACGTAGCAACCATCGCCCCCCACCACCCACCACTGGTTAAGACATTCCCCAGGTCACGCCCGCCAATGACACTCCCTCGACTTCACACCTGCTCATACAAAAATCAACTTCGCGATTGCTCAAAAGGGTCACGTCATCTGATAAAAGTCAACCCACCATTAGTGAATCGGGCACCCTACACACTCAACAGCGTACGCAGTGCTCAACCATTCATTCTGTGGCTATCAAATCAACTTCCTTGAGGTCATGGAGGAAGCGTGCTCGTTACAGATCTTGCCGGATTAGCCGTGATCTGCAATTCTTCTAATGCCGTCATCAATACCAAGAGCAACTGTCACTGTAATACTGCAATTTCAGTATTACAATGGCAGTATTACATAATATGCATGGGGATGATCCATTAGATTTCAATGCCTCGACATGTCGCCCACCAATCTAAATACGCTAATAACATATTTGAAACACTCCGCTTTGTAATACGGGGAGCCGACACTATTTTTTTTTCCCTTCACAAAATTCAATCACCTGTTGAGATGAATGTAAGAGTGTCATTAGAAATCAGTGGGGTGTCTATGAATTGATCACCTTGTATTATAACACATGTCGACTTTAGCCTGATTTCAGTGCAACGTTGCTGCTTAAAATGCCGCCGATGATGTTGGTTGGTCTCGAGTCTAGATTGTATTGCATGCTCATTTTTCTTTTTGATAGGATATTTCACATCAATCGTTCACTATTCCCTGCGCACATGCACACTGTTGTGATGGCTTTTGTTTGCTTCTTTTAATTTCATGTTTTTCTCCCCACCCACCCCTACACCGACCCACGATAATTATCCCACAAGACAAATGATCCACTCGAAGGCAGTGAGCAGTGTAACACATTCGTGTTAGAGAATGGCCCACGGAATAGGATATCACAGCACTACCTCTGATATCCCTACTGGACATCTGTGAAACTACTGGACATCTGTGAAACTACTGGACATGTGAAACTACTGGACATCTGTGAAACTACTGGACATCTGTGAAACTACTGGACATGTGAAACTACTGGACATATGTGAAACTACTGGACATCTGTGAAACTACTGGACATCTGTGAAACTACTGGACATATGTGAAAAATTGCTTTATAGGTAATCGGATTCCTCCAGTATAAGTACATATTCTTCTTCGTCAAGTGATCTCTGGTCCACACAAAAGTGGGTAGAACTTTCCCTCTAACCCGCTCTGCATATGAGAGTAATGCTCGTCGCATAATAGTCGATGGGTATTAAAATTTATAGAGATAGAATTTAGGCAAAATTAAATTACAAATTTTAATGTGATTAGTTGTTGTGTAGTTAGTCATTTGGTGACCGGGTAAAGACCGTCGGACTCGCTACAATTGAAGCAGAATATGTATTTATACTGGAGGAATCTGATGAGCTATGAAGCTCTTTTACACAGATGTCTAGTAGGGTCGGGTCATAATGTTACTACAACAACAAACAATTCACGATAGGAGTGCTCAGTATAGGAAAGGTAAACAAATCACGTAAAAAAAGATACAAATTAAACTAAACAATTTTTTTCATCTTGCCGGGTAAAGGCCATTGAGCTATTAGCTTCTTTTTCAGAAGCGACATGGCCACAAATGAGAGCTCAACAAAGTGGCTTATCACGTGGACATTTATAGCAGCCAACTAATCCAGTTCAAACACAGCGGGCTGCATGGATCGATCCAAGGATTCCAGCGGTGCCAGCTCAGCGCTCTGACCTCCAAAGCCACCGCGTCAACCCTCTCTGACGCGTGGCTCTATGCCGTCACGTCTCTCTCTCTCTCTTTTAACATCTCGCGATGAACTCGAACCCGAAGCCAAGGGGCCCTTGGGCGCTATGCTCGAGTCGGGGACCCTTGCTCGGCAATCATAGCATATCGAGGGGCGGGTGGAGGAGGTTTAAGGGTGAGAGGGGATGGAGGTTGAAGCATTGTGGCCGGTGACTGATCTTTTATTCCGATAAAAAAAATGGTTCTGCTCAGGTGTTTGTGCTTGCGTGTTGTGTTTCCTCAAAGTCTACAGAAGCCTCGCGCCGTGGTGACGTCACCGCCGCTTAGTGATTGAAGGCGACAAACAAAAACACGTATTTTTATTTTAGCAGGTAAGGCCCACTGATCTCTATTGCTCTTTTTCAGAAGCGACCTGGCCACAACTGATAGCTCAACGAAGTGGCTTATCACGTGGACATTTATGTCAGCCGAATACTCTAACGCATGTTTTGTAAATGTGGAGGGAAAAACCAGAGGAGCCGGAGAAGAATCCACGCGACCACCGAGAGACACGCAAACTCCAAAAAAAAAACCCAGCAGGCGTCAGGGTCGGGTTCGAACCCACCACCTCCTCCATACCGGACGAGGTAGTTATTTATCATATCACTGCACTATGAACATAGCGGGCACAGTTCCGATTCCTGATCATGGCAAATACCAGTGGCATGTGAACATAGGTCGACCTTAGCCTGAAATGCGGTGTAAAAAAATACACACACATCAATGGGGGTACAAAAAGGCGCCCCGGGAGTGGTTCTCGCCACATCACTCCCTTGTGCGTCCAGCACTGGTTTAATATTTGCTCGCTAGCATCAATTGCCGCGACCCACTGAGTGGCTAAATGGGTTATCTTTGTGGCCTTTTTCTTTCTTAATACTGCACGACCACGGCGTCTCTGGCATTGGAGCTGCGTGTCCGCCATTGAAAGCTAATTTAAAAGTCATACACTACGAGATCAATCTCAACTACGGTTCCAGGAAAGTATTGCTGAGCCTTAAGACGTTCTCTTTTATTTTCAGGAGGGTGCCGTATTGGGATGTTTGACCGAATTCCCTTTGAAACATACCAACAAAGTCCGTAGAGACGTGTCCATGAACCCTAGCTTATGTGCAGTGCAGGCTCCTATGCCATCTCCTGGCTACCTCGCAGTCCAGAGGGGGCAACGAGAACTTCACACAAAATAAACCTGTGCGGGGTTTTCGTTTTTATTTTTTTGGTGAGGTTCGCGCGTTTCACGCAGAATTTACATGTGATCCACCAACCCTTGCCTGCCGAAGCGCCGGATCACAGGTTGTGCACAACCACCACGCCCCGACCCGACAAAACAACTACATTGAGTCTTGACTTAAAGCTTTCGTGACTGCAGGAATTCATACTCTTTGGGTCTTTCGGAAAAGTCACGTAGGTAGAAAAATAATAAAGTAATAAAAAAAGCATGACGTTTCGATCGCTATATTTATTCCTGCCTTAGCAGTCCGCCTGCTCTATTTCTTCATCTGAAGACGATCGCTCGCTTTATTATTTTTCTATCTACGTGACTTTAACGAAAGACCCAAAGAGTAATTACATCGAGTTCAATTAATGTACACAGCACGCTGTACGTAATCCATACGGTTAGTGGTGGCGATGATGATGATGATGACGATGATGCTCGAGGGACACATTAACAACTCTTCTTTGTTTCACACCAGGCGCCACCTCGAGGCGAACATAATGCGTTCACGTCGTCAGCACCCACGGAGCTGATGGGAGAGGGTACGGCGAGCACGAAAGAAGAATACTGGGACAGAATCGCGCCGGGGCGAACAAGAGCAGACGGCGCGCCCCAAAGCGTGGACGGGTAGATGGACGCGTGGGTCACAGGGGCTGCATTGCCTGGCCTGCGGTTAGCGAGTGAGAGGGGGGAGGGAGGAGGGAGGGAGGGCACCGGGTATGGGTGAATGGAGAGATCCGAGTGTAGATGGATGGATGGGAAGAATTGGGTCTGGTTGACAAGGGAAAGAGGGATGGATGAATGGGAGGGAGGATTTGCGGAGTGTATGTGGGGGGGGGGGGGGGGATGGGGGTACGGGCGGGACGGGCTGGAGGTATAGAGAGGGAGGGAGGGTGGGAGGAGGAATATAGTCTTAATAATTCATGAGCGCTTTTTGACGTCACTACAAGCGCTGCAGCGCAGAGGCGCTCGGCGTGCTGACAACATCGAGGGCTGTGGAGCGAGCTCAAGAGTGGGAGTGAGTGAGGGAGGGAGGAGAGAGAGGGGGAGAGAGCGAGGACTAAAGGAGAGAGAGGGAGACTCCGGACATCTGCCTCACCGCAAACGCTCTCGTAGTCGGGCAGCCTCGCCGCTGCTCCCCTTCCTCCACTGACGCCCGCGTCTCGCAGATGTCGCTCCAGTCAGAAGCGGGGCTTTTCCTCCTCTGCCCCCTTTGTTCGCCGAATTGATATCCTGTTGTTTTGCTATCCGAGTGTATATTTATTAGTTTGATTATTATTGTTTAGACGTCCCTTCTTCATATTGGGGGGGGGGGGGGGGGGGGGCGAGGGGGGGGCAGCTGTAGTGGGGTTGGCGAGGAGAGGAGGTGAAACGCACGCGGGAGCGACGGAGAAAACGAGAGGATCTCTGACCCCAAGGTGAGATGATTTAATGGCAGCAGTCAATTAAAGGCACGCAACAGTACTTAAGTGTGAATATTGATCAATGCGCGAATGTACTTCTGAGTTTTGTGAATGAAACACACACAAAAAGCACGCACGAGGCTGTCGTTGAGAGCAGCTGTTGATGTGTTACAATGCGCGCGGATTTCTCATTTCTCACGTTGCTGTTATTTATTTCGTCAAACGAAGAGAGTGAATATTGTACCGCCTGTATGTAAATAACCATTGGTTGCAAACGACTAATTCGCGGTGTTTCGGCGCACTCTTTGGCAGTAAAATACCATTTCGAGGTTTTAAGCTTCGCGTTCGGGAAGAATATGCGTAAAAGGGGACATTATTTGCGTAAAACCACGGGGAGAGTGCGCGAGAGAGGTCGAGAGAGATGCGGCTCCGTACGTGTGAACCTGTGAGACCATTCCCTGGCGTGGTTCTCGCCACTCCCGGTGCGAAAGGCGTGAATAACTCAAACCCCACACGCGGGGTAAGTGTACTCTGCCTACAAGTGTATACTTGTAGGCAGAGTATACTTGTAGGCAGAGTACACTTACCCCACACGCGGGGTAAGTGTACTCTGCCTACAAGTGTATACTTGTAGGCAGAGTATACTTGTAGGCAGAGTACACTTACCCCACACGCGGGGTAAGTGTACTCTGCCTACAAGTGTATACTTGTGCCGCCGTAGCGCAAGACGGTGGGCACGAGTTCTGAAACGGCGAGCATACGCGCCACTCACACCCTGTGTCTCACACCACACCACCAGCAGGCATACGCGCCACTCACACCCTGTGTCTCACCACACCACCAGCAGGCATACGCGCCACTCACACCCTTTGTCTCACCACACCACCAGCAGGCATACGCGCCACTCAAACCCTGTGTCAGTGGGCCACGCACGGGAAAACGAGACGCGAGCAAGGTGGCCGGCTGAGTGATTTGTGGACACGAGTTCAGTGCCGTCTCGCCCCACCCGCAGATGGTGACGAGCGCGACAGGTCCAGTGGTTGGTGTTTGAATGTTCGTTCGAATGTCGGTTCGAGCATATTTGCCAGAAGTGTCCCTTGTTGTTTACACATCGTGCGCAGACATTGAGAGCAAGTGAAGCTTCAGCCTACTGCTACAATAGCGGTGCGTAATTTAAGTCGAGGGTAGCGACAAACTATCACCGTTTCTTGGTATCTTCTCGCTCGCTTTCCCCCTCTCGCTGGGAGTGACAGCTGCCTGTCACAGCTGCCTGTCACTCCCTGCACCGCTCTCCACAAATACCATAAAGTGATCCTATTGTATACACACAATGCATATGCACGATTACGGCAACTGTGCGTTTCGGACAAAGATTCCCCATATTGCGTTCAACAGACTGTTGGGGCGAGTGCTGTTAGTGAACACCACGGAACAAGAGTAAGTGGGTGGCCAGCACCACGGCCAGCTGCCTTTATCTCCCCGGTGCTGATGTTTACACACCGCACAAGAAACAGGGCTCATTCAAGGATAAGTCCACCTAGAGGAGTCCCAGGCACAGTTCGGGTTAGCGGGAATCAAACTCTTGCGACTAGGCCACACACAATCACACCCCAGTTGCATTCTCCGTGCTTCCTTCAACTCATTATTTTCACAGTAAATGTACAGGTGTTCGCACTAACCTTCATACAGTACTCCATTAAAACAAGCAGCGAGCACGTAACACCGCGGGGATATGGAAGCGATGGAATCAGCTCCCTGTACAGGGGTTGTAGATTGAGTGGATTGTGAACATCGTTATCACTGACGGTTGATCATGGCCGATGAAGATGAAAGAACAGCATATGCACTCGGCGGCAGAGAAGTGGATGTTCTAGCCCCATCGTGTGCCGTGCCTGACTTCATAGGTGCTCGCTAACAGGTCGGGCTGTGTGTCGAGTGAGGAGGGTGTTGCGCCGTGCGTGCTGGACTATGGGGGTCTCTGCATCTCGTGCCAGGCACTCCATCACGGCAGTAATTTTCGAGTTGTCACCGTCGCCTTTCCCTTGCGCGAACATTTTTCGTCTTTGTCCCCAGCAAGAGCCTCGCGCATTATTCCTGGCTGATGTTGTGGGGCGGGTTTTTTTTTCCCTTTCACGGGTCTGCCTGTATTGGCGTTAGGCTGGACAAGATGCACAAAGATCCCCCCGTATAGCCTGAAAATACTGTTAGGGCAAATGCTATAAAGGTGCTCGCACACGCGGGGGTGGGTGGCCAACATCATGCCCGGCCGCCTTTGTCTCCCCAGTGACCCCAGTGGCGGTGTTAACACACCGTACCAGGTACTAATTTCAGGCTGAATCGACCATAAGGATGCCCAGGACCGGTTCAGATAATCGCCACTGGTGTTGGCCGTGAGCGGGAATCGAACTCGGGACGCCGGGTTCGTAGCGCAGCGCGCTAACCTTCACACTACCGCTCCCCACAATATGCACAGACACACACACATATATGTGTACACATATATTTACAAATGCAATGCATGCATACACATACAAAAAATCCCCCCCCGCCCTCCCCCGTATAGCCTACACAGCAAACTACATAGACCGCTGTTAGGGGAGCTTCTGTTAAAAGGCCAGAACGTGTTGGCATCACCGCGTCTGGCCGCCTTTGTCTCCCTCCCCCCGCACACACACCACACACCAGCTAGCTGCTCATTTGCAACTTGAGTCCACCTGGAGGAGATGCGGGAATTGTTCCGTGGCAGGGACGAGGCACGGGGTTTTGTTGCCAGTGGACTAAACAGTACAAAGACAAAGATCCCCCGTAAAGATTGTGACAGACTGTTGCTGTGAGCGAGTATCTACGAGAGGCCGCCACGGCACACGAGGGTGTGGTAGGTGGGCCAGCATCACACACGGCCGCCTTTGTCTCCCCTAGTAACGATGTTTACACATTCGCACCAGGCACTAATTTGAGGCTGAGTCAACCTAGGGTAAGCGCAGGATTGGTTCGGATAATCGTCACCGCGAGCGGGAATCGAACTCGGGTGAGCAGGGTTCGTAGCGCAATGCACTAACCACTGCGCCACCGCTCCCCATAGAGCTACAGTATACACTCACACACGCGAACTATATGATGCAGGCTTTCGCCGACTTGTATAGCGTGATACTTTCTCTTTAATATTTTATTTGCTACATTCACAGGCAACATACACTTAGCTTTCAGTTGTACGTTGTCTCAGCCGAGCTATAAATTGTGATATAAACCTCACTGGTCCTCCACGCGGACAGCCCAAATTGTGAGACCGTGTCGGGAAATTGTTATTGGCGAGCACCTATTAAGGTGGAGGGGATGCGATCACCACCACCACCACGCCAACTCGACCTGTGTCTGCCTTACTCGCAATAAGCCGTTCACACCAACCCACTAGTTAATAATTTAAGGCTGAGTTGACTTAGGGCGGAGACGCAGAACAAATACAGATGCCATGGCAGGGAGTCGAACCTAGGTTACAGGCATCCTAGAGCATATCACTCAGCCACCACTGTGCGTGTGTAAACTCACACACACATATATAGTGCAAAAACATATTTCAAGTCGGGTATTGCAGACTGTGAGCGAACATCCATTGAGGTCGGCAACGTCGCACGAGGTTGGTGTCGCTACCATAACGCCCGGCCGCCTTTGTCTCACCAGTGCTGGTGTCTAACACGTCGCACCAGGTACTGTCCTCATTCGAGGCTCAGTCGATCGCTTTTAAAAATGATCACTCGCCACCGACGCCGAGTGATAATTTAACTCGGCCTTTTTTTCCCCGGGTTTCGTAGTGGTTAGTGCGCGAACCGCTGCGCCACCGCTCCCCACTATAAAACACGCACACTGGTATATGACGAGTTATCTGTTCGTTCAGTCGCACGGACGCGGCACACAGCCTCAAGGTAACACGCTCCATTCATTTGACAAGTGGCGCGCACACACGCACACACACCGCGCGCGTGATGTCGCCGTCTTTGTGTTGCTTCGCCACGGAGACCGGGCAACTGCCGCAACCCCCAGGCCAGGTCATCATCCTTCTGCCACGCAGCATCCCTCGAACGTCAATTAATACCGCTCTCTGTTCTCGCAAACAACCCAAGCAGACGCCGCCGCACCAGTGGCGGCCTTAAGCGTGGTTGGCACCACGGGGACCCCGGTGCAACAATTGGGAATGAAATGGGGGTCAACTTTTCAGTGCACCACCCCCCAACCCCCACCCAACCACCACCTCTTCGTAGCCTCGTGGATCCCGTTGCAATTGCACCGCCTGCACACTCGACAATACAGCCACCGGCTACCACAAATTTATTAGCTAAACGAGGTGTAGGTCACAACGAGTGCGTTGCAGCCAGCGATGAATTTACTCGAGCCGACCTTATTTATTGCTTCACGTTGGTTCAGCGTGTGCGTCTTGCATAGCGACGCACACGCGCCGTGTAATGAAAGGTTATGGGGCTATGCTCATGGGCTACGTGACCCTGACCAAGGAATAACGTGAGGCCTTCACATCTCTCATCACCACCGGACGGTAATGATCATCCCCTCGCTTCTCGTGCTCCCCACCCCCCTTGCGCCCTTCATATCATGGCCACGGAAGACAGAGGTGGCTTACCCCCTGTAAACCCAATAGTGCTGTGAAATACCATAACGAAAGATCACCGAAGGGGTGATACACTGTTGTATTGTGAGCAGAGCACACTCGCCAACCAAACGCTCGCTCTAACCTACCCAACACGCACTTTGGTTCACGCATTGATCCTAAATAATGAGCCAACCAGCCACTCGTGTTAGAACTCTCACTGATGTAATCTTAACCAAATGACCAACAAGCCTCGAGTACGAGCCTAATCAGTGACCCCAATGCTAACAAACTAGCCAGCCAAACACGAGTGCCGCCTATCACTCACCCGAACAATAATAAATGAGCCAAACCAGCCGCCTAGTACGGTCCTAGCCCTTCGTCCCCGCTGACCCTAAGCCTGTCTCTAACCCTATCT